CTGCCAGAGCCCAGTATGGCCCCCGTTATGGCCCAGCGCATCCATCGCGTGGCCCGTTTTGGGGGCACAAGTGCAACCAATCCAATCCGAGCACATTCCCAGTCTAGATGCGAGGAAATGTTGATACCTTAACGGATGCAAATGAACTAAAAATACTCGGGGTTGCCATCTTGTCATCCCTGAAACCTTCAACCCAATGTGTCAGGACAGCTAAAAGGGCAACTGGTGTTTACTTCACCACAAAAAGGTATCTGCAAAAGTGTGCAAGAAGTTTATTAATTCGAAGCTGAACTATGGAATCCAGGCGTGGTGCCCATAGTTGAGAAAAATATTGTCAGCTGTTGGAAAAGTTTCAAAAAAACTCAAAATATCAAGGTGGTTGATGCTCAACTCATGTGACGTAGGCAGTCAAAAGCACCCGTCAAAAGCCTCAGCTCCGAAAGTATAGATAAGCTCTTTTTAGTAGCGTTTTACTCATCGACCGCAGCTGAACAAATAGTTAATCGTCCAAAATATATCCCACATATACTGACCCTAAATTGACGTTAACGCATAAGCATTACAGTTGTGACAGATGAAATAAAAATAGGCACGTTAGCTGCCAACCTTTCAGCTCACCTGAATTGACAGTAGACGGTTCCAGCAATCGCGTTTTTACAACAGCGTGCAATTGCACATGTATTCAAATGCACCAGAGTCTACCAGGCGCCATTAAAACTGAACCTGAGCACGAAAGCTTGATCTGGTTAAGTTATATTAACGGATGATAGGGGCATCACCATAACTGTAGTACAAAACAGTTACTAAGTAGTCCGACATGTTCACTGCGTAATAGAAATCAACGTAAACACTGACGTGCTACGCAACCGAACAAAATAGGTAAATCCAGGGACAGTTTGATCGTCACCTCCGATGACGTCCACAGTGCGCTCCACAGAAAGGCGGAGCAGGCACGGTGACTTGCGCATGAATTAGTTTATAGCGATAATAGACTTGCGCTGCATCTACTGTACTCTCCCACCCACCTCAGTCCGCTGTCAATACGGAGTCGGAAAGGTTGGAAGCGGGGGAGGGCACAAGTGGATGGTACGGCCGGACCCGCAGCTAGGCGTGACACCACAACCCCTGGTTCATAACAAACACTTGACCGGATTTTAACCAACAACAACAGCACCAAAAGGGTCCGAATTACGAAGCTGACTGGGTAACCATGCCCACGACCTGCATACCCGGCGGAAGCCCATGTGCATCTACCGGCAGGGAACCAGG